AAACAACTTAAAAAGTCTTTAGACATTTTCTGACCTCGACTAGGAGAAAAAGTTCTGAAAAATAGTTTAGTTATCCTATTGTTTGTAAAAAGAAAACTTTGAGCGATATTCTTGCCTGGAGTTCATCTTGCAAAATAGCAAACACGGCGAAGGCGGCTTAAAACTTAAGGCTTAATTTAAATCTATTCGTGACTCAGCTTTACTCTCAAAACACGTCTTCGGGAATAAAAATTGTTGACCTTTAAATGTTTCTTCGTATTATATTTGTTGTCTTGATTGTTTGTCAAGATCTCGTTCTTACATGATCGCTTTGCCAGTTGTTGTTTTCAGTCGTCCGTGAACGCGTTGGTCACGCTCTACATCCAATGTTTATGCTCTGATTGGTCAAAATTTGACAGGTGAGTTCATGCGGAAAATTTATGCAGCATCTTGAAACTTGTTTCCTGTGACAGCTGAAGCTGACAGAGTTTTGTGTCAACTTGTCATGTTTTTAACTGTCTTTTTCTACCGGATGTACGAAATGAAATTCAGCTACTATCAAGAGTCTTCTGTTATTCATGGCTAGTTTGTCTATTGGGTTTTTGGATGAGAAATACGTCGCCTGTCAAAGTCGGAACTCCGATTTCGGATGGCATCGATTCGTTTTCGTTTTTCACCTTGCTTGATTGAAAAGTCTGAAGCGATGTAGCTTCCAGGAGCTGCCTGAGTAATTATTGTATTTGTGTTTGTTTTTTTCATATATCTAATTTCATGAAGCCGAGCGCAGTTTATGAGGCTATAGTTTATGCATGTTGAGATACCTGACCTATAGTATGAGGTTTGATTTAAGCTTGCAGAACTTTAAAAAGTCTCGAGTCGATATTTTCTCACTGCAAATAGAAAGAAAAAAACGTTGCGTTTTTATTTTGGCTGTAGAAAGAAAGCTTTGAACAATTTTTTCGCCTCGAGTTCATCTTTGAAAACAGCAAACACCGGGAAGCCGGGTTTAAAACATAAACTTAGGCTTTAAGCATTAAGACTCAGGATTCTTAGAGATACTTCGTGAATGAAAATTGTTGTCTCTGTAAATGTTTCACCGAATTATATTTCTTTTATTGATTGTTAGTAGTCTCTCTTGCAATTTGCCGTTAATGTTTTCAGTTGCAGGAGTACTCAAAACGTCGCGCGTATTAAACGCTTGTTAAGTTTACACATAGTTATAAAACCATTGAATAAAAAAAAAACAATAAATTCTTTATTATGTTGAAATGTAACTCTATTAATGTTCATTCAAACACTCCACAGCTTGCAACTGGCTGGCCGTTATATAGGTGATTTTGGAAATTTTTTTAGCGGTTTCGCTAAAAGCCCACGCGTGCTTCGATCGTCCTGAATATTGAATGAGTGTAATTTATATTTCAAAACTGTGAAATACTGCGTTCTGTCTGAGGTCTGTATGATAAAAACAGCGCCTCATAGTACTGTTTCACCTCAGACTGTCAGATTTGATGTATAAAAAGTATAAAAGGTTGGTTTACACGCCCCCAGATTTGTTAGCAAGATTTTGTAAAACCAACTTGTCAAACGGAAAAAATTCTGCCGGATTTGCTTTCCAAGTATTTGTTTTCCAGGCCTAATGTACTGTGATCAAGAGCCATTATGGACGTTACATGTGATCGAAGATGATTGCTATTTTTTGGGTGTACATATAAAGGCCGTCAACTCGATGTAAGGTTTGGTGCACTCTTGGACTGTTAGCAAATTATTTTTCTCTCAAATCACTTAGCTTTAATCCCTCAAAACAAAAGTCACATGAATGTGCTCTAAAGTGAACTGATTTGTGGAATACAAGTTTATTGTTTGATTGAAATTACAAATTTATTAACGGGAGCTTCGCTTTTAGCGCTGGCTAAATCTATATATTATGTACTAATTAAATATATAGTCTTATTTCTGTCTGTTCTTTCTTTTTTCGATGGTGAAGAGAGGGAGGGAGGGGAAGGAGAACAAGACAAGACTCAATTCAATGTTCTTTTATTATACAGTATTTACATACCATTGTGGTACAACGTCGATACAATCCTCACTAGATAACTAATCCTGAAAAGTGTTTTTATGTATACAATAGACAAACGGTTTTAATAAGCAAGTAGTCTTTTCTGCTTGCTTTGAATAGAACCTCAAAGTCACCCAGTTGGTTTGATAAGATACAATCGAAATGAGCCAATAAAAACATCTTTTCATTCCTTATAAGAAAGTTGGTGTTAATCGCCTTGTAAACTAGCAGAGTGAGTCTTGTCTATAATTAGTTCAGGAAAATTTACATCGTCCAAAAGAGAGAAAACGAGGGTTCTCAAGGTCAATTTAAAATGGCTTATAAATACAGTTCGAATTCGCCTGACTTGGATCAAACATGGCTTTTGTTTGGATACTTGAGCGACAGAGCTGACTGGAATTAACACCAGACAAGTGCAACCGTCCGTGCTAATTAACGATTCGAAGCTGTGCTGAATAATGACTCCCCTTAGTTTTATTAAATGACGCTGTAATTACAGCAAACGGAGCTTGATAATGTTTATTATGCTTAAATGCACAAAACGTCCTCAGCAATCCCATGGCGGGGTTCGCAAGATTCGTGCAGCTCACGAAAACGCCCATTTTCGTTTATAACTTGCCTTTCTCGGTCAAATCCAAGACTTATACTGTCAATTCCTTGGACTTAATGATATGCCTTAAGAAAAGGCTAGGTGCCCAAGCAGTATTAAAATTACTGTATCTGTTAACCCTGCTATAGACCGGAAGTAAAAATAGGTCACATGGCCGTTCTGTTTGTGTTTGTTACTATATCTGTCAGCGGTCGTGTGTTTTATTGTCTTTCAAGTCGTGAAACGGGAATCTGTTGGTCAAGTAAGAAAGAAAATTATTGGAATCCACAGAATAATACGAGTAAACTAAAACTTTATGTAAAGAAACAAGACGCGGGAGCAAGGCTTTATATGACTAACAACGCAACGAACATAAAAACGGTTCTTTGGCGTTGTTTATCTAAACACAAGTCGGAGGAGATTTATTAAAAAATGATTTAAAAGTCATTCATACAACAACTGATATTTTGTAACAAAGTATAGATATTTCGTTACTGATATTATTGAAATTAATCTTCATTATCTTTACAAGGTTCTATATCAAGCTTAAAAAATAAGTTGGAAAAATAGATAATTATTTTATGTAGACTTATCTGCAAATTTATCATTCTCCTCTTGAAGCCTTGCTGCCCTAAAGGTCGGACCACAGTAGGCGATATGTCGCTGCAAGATCTTTTAGCGACAAATCGTTTCGTACTGGAGAATTTGTGGGAAAATCGTTGTCTCCTCGACAAAATTTTTGTCTCCGCAACAAGTCGCATAAAATTTCGTATTTGTGCAGCGAGAAAATTTGGTCGCGGAGACAAAATGCCCCAGTATACACGAAGCAATTTGTCACCGCGATGTTTTTTTCTTTTTTTCTTCTTGTCACCACGATGTGTTGCTGAGACTTGTAGTCCGATCTGTACACAAGGAGTGGTTTGTCACCGCGACGTTTTGCAGCGACATGTTGCCTAGTGTGTTCAGACTTAAACTTTTTACTGTGAAATGTGCTCAAAATTTAAAGGTTCATTTCTCAACTATTAGATGTAGTGTTCAAAGCATAGTGCATAGTACACTACACGTCAACCGTTTAAGCCCCAATGTCCACATATCACATTTCCTTACATAATTTGAGAACTCTCATAACCTTTTCTCTTAATAATGTATGAAATTTTTAAAGTGAAAATTGATGTTGATCATCCTCAGGACTTTTTCATTTTTAAAAATACTTAATGCCGGGTATCAGCAGAGGGTAATCCCGTGAATAAATTATGAGAGTTAAAAATAATTCACATAAAAAATAAAAATTGTGAATTTTACTCTCATAAAGTTAGAACCTAAACTACTTTCTTAAGGTCAAACAAAACAAACAGTTTGGTTAAGAAAACGCCTTTCTTGTTTAACGCAGAAAACGGAGGACAAAAAAACATGAAATGTTGTTTCAAAGCAACAACAGTAAACATTGAAGATAAAAAAAAAAAAAGGCAGCAAATTTTTTAATGTTTAAAGAGGTCCTAGAGAAGTGAAAATGTCAAATGTTACTTTTATTCACAAAGGCGCGGTTTTAAAGGGTTACTTCGACCCCTTTTGTACCGAACTTCGGTCTCCTGTGCCGATCATTTATCCTTCGCACTATCCGAACTGTGGGGCGGATCTCTTGATGGGGGAAGCGCAAAAACATAGCGAGGGGACGGGTAAGAGGAAAAAGGAGCAAAGAGAGAAGGAGGGAGGGAGGGAGGGAGGGAGGGAGGAGATCTTCCTCTCTTTTCGTCTCATTTCCTAACGGAAAGACTGTTCTGGGGCTATCGTGTTATAGATAAAATCAATAGACCTTTTTTCCTTTTTTTTTTTCGACTTTTGACCTGTAACAGCTGGAGAAAATCCATCGACACAACTGGAAGAGCGAATTAAACTAATAACAAAAAAAGATTTCAAGTCTGAAAGTGATATGTTGAAAACTTACGAAATTATCTGGCCCTACAATCTTGCTAAATCTATGCAGACATTTGTAGGTTTGGGGAAGGGAGAAAAACTTGACCCCCCCCCCTAATACCACCACAAACATCAGTAAAATTTCACGACTTTGCGAAGCTCCATCTTCCTGTTTGTTTTGCCGGACCTTAATCAGCATCTTTAAGGAACTAGAAAGCTACTACGTAGAAAAGCCTTACGACATGCTACATTTCAACGTTTAACTCTGCGACCGAGTTACGTGTCAAAAAACGACATGGTCGTCGCATGTTTTTTTTCCACAAAACTTGTTGTGGACTCATTTGTGCGCCCAAGTATACGCTCTCACAGCGTATTTTTTTTTACCTCAAAGTTTATTACTGTATGGCTTATATTGAAATATGCAACCTGTCATTACCTTACTAGCATGCGCAGTAGCGGGCACTATGTGTGCTGTAGTCTTAGGAGACGTTCTGTTTTGCCTCCGCCTTGTGTTTCACTCAGCCATTCCTTGCAAGGAAACTCGTACCTTTGACCATTTTCGTCCGTTACCGTGATCTGGAGTTTTGAAGAATAAAGCTTAAATGCTTTTTTTTGCCTTGTTTGTACCTTAGGCTTCTAAACCATTAGCCTGAGTCTCAGACACCCCTTTGAGTCACATACCCATATCAGCCGCTAATGCCATCCAGTGACGTCACTACTACTTTGCTTTAATTCATGCAAAAAACAAAACACGATTTTCAACTGGCAAACAAAGAAATATCGTCCGGAAGTCTAAATGGTACATAATTGGTTTATTCGTAAATCGTGACTCATGTTAAACGTTCAAACTGTTAACTACATGCAATACTCTGAACGAGTCTTTTGCTTTGTATAGCGCCATAATTCAGCAATCAAACATGTTCGCGTTCGAAAATTTGCTAGCTCGACAGAAGCTAGTTATAAATCTCACAAAGCGGCTCCCTAAATGTAAACCTACCGTCTTTCGGCATTGATTCTTTGTTTGTCAGAGGCTAGGGCTATTCTACTTTTTAGAACAAAGATTGTCGAAATTTTGAACTTCACGCAAGCATTCATAATTAAACATAATTATGCGAATGTTCGGAGAATCAACCAATCAAAACCACTACCCGGTTTTCGGGTAGTGACGTCACTGGACGGCATCAACTGCTCGTCGATTCAGACGTCCCTGATGGGAGTATGCGACTCGAAGGGATGTCTGAAATTCAAGCTACTAAAGCCTATGAAGACTGGAAAACATTGTGATGATGTAACAACATTTTCTTGGTATAATGTGGCTAAACTGATTTGCGTCCGTGACATTTTTGTCAAAGATTTAACGTAGGTTTATTTAACTAGTATTTCGTACTTGCCATTTTCATAACACTTCATATTTTCAGGCGAACTTTTATTCATGATAGCTTTTGAAGGACTACTCATCTGGGTGGGGGTTAACCCAAAATCAAGCAAAGTTGTAAACCACATTTACTTATCAGGTATTATTATACAGACACGAGTGTTTTACTGGAAAATATACCACTCGTAAAATTCATAATACTACATCCGGGACCCGAGTAGTTTATTTTCCATAATATCACACGTGAGTTTATCGATGACGTAATTTCAGTAATTTCCCTCTATTATTTTATCAATCTCTTTTTGTCTATATAATAGAAAGAACATTACACAGTGGCTTAAAGTTATGAATTTTATTTTCTCGTGGCAAAAACAATATTTTACTCACCCGCTGCGCGCGTTCGTAAAATATTGTTTTGCCACTCGAAAATAACATTCATATCATCGCGCCACCGTGTAATATCCTCTATATATGTAAATTGAGCTTATAAAACCTTCTCGAGCTTTCACTTAGAGAGCTGGTAATGTTAACCCAAAATGACAGTCCTAACCAGTCTATAAGAAAGTTAAAATGCCTGGGTTTGGTCGGCCCTCGAGGAACTGGACCCTAGACGTACATATCTGTAAAACACGAATGTCTGGGATTGGATTTGCATCTTTTATTAGAGTTTAGGCATCCGCGACAACTAGTTTTTCTGGGGGCTAAACTGAGAAGCGCATGCGCCCCGAACAATCGCAACCGCGTTTCGTAGTACAGTCAGGCCCTGAGTGTGTACTATAGAATATATTTCCTTTTATTATATAGACACGAGTGTTTTACTGGAAAATATACCACTCGTAAAATTCATAAAATCTACATCCGGGAGCCGAGTGGTTTATTTTCCATAGTCTCACACGTGAGTTTATCGATGACGTAATTTTGGTAATTTCCCTCTATTATTTTAGCGATGTCATTTTGTCTATATAACAAAAAGAACATTACACGGCGGCTTGAAGATATGAATTTTATTTTCTCGTGGCATAAACAATATTTTACTCACTCGCTGCGCTCGTTCGTAAAATATTGTTTTGGCACTCGAAAGTAAAATTCATATCTTCGCGCCACCGTGTAATATCCTCTATGTATTTCAACGGTCGTTTACGTCTTTTTCTTTCTCTTCGCTCAATACGTGCTGTTCTTGTAAAATAATTCTCAGCCCCTTACAGCTCGCCTTTTGCTCCGTCCTACTTATCTACAGCAAAACTAATAGAATTTATTTAACGAATACGCGCTAAGGAAAAACGTAAAACTTAAAAGATAACTTCAAAGTTAATGCTTAACCTGTCAACTTCAGTGACCGTATATCATGCTAAAAGTGGTGTCCGGGGCGCTTACTTGACTTTCTGAAGCGAAGCCAAAGAGGATCGGTAATTTCAAGATGGGTACTACATTGAACTCGGGCGATAATGCGCTCCGGTAATCACATCATTCACACTGCGAGTTGGAATAAATAAGGACGAGTAAAGTTTTCAAGGCCAACAAAACTGAAAAAGCCCCAGAAATGTGTGTAATTGAAGTCTAAAACATAAAAAATGCACATTTGTTTCAAATTACAAAAAATTCGTTTTTTTTATCTTCCTTATTTTATGTTAATTTGAGTCTGAGCCTGGAAATTCGCGTGTAAAACTGTACGACACGTAGTCTTCTTTATCCTTTATTCTGTTAAAAAAATCTCCCTTACCTTTTCCAGGAACCAACTGGGATTTGATCCGGAGTTATCATGTAATATTCTGACTTGCCTGAGTTTACCAAGATCCGGTAACATCAGAGTGTTATTTTCATTTCTTCAAGAAAGAAAATGAAATGCACTATGCTTATTATTCACTGACTAGGATTAAATACAGCATTTCATTAAATAGTGCAACAATTTAACACTTTCTTAGGATCATTAAATGGTTAGGTTCAAGATACCCATATCATTTCTTCAAGGTAGCAATTTAATTGGAAGCACCACATTTAAGAAGTCGTGCCAAATATGAAAAAAACATGTGGCCTTTAGATTCTAAGACGAGGACGAGAATTTCTCAGTTCGAAATGGTGGGTGGGCGCACGCGTGAACCAGCGTCATTTTGGCGGGAAAACGTGGTAGTCCTTGTCATTCGACTAAGCGTTCAGTGAAAATGTTGTGGTAGCGGAAACAAGGAGTATCAAATATTTTTATTAACAGTATTTTTCATTTTACGATTCTGAGAGGGTTAAATCTCCCTCACTAATAAAAAAACCTTGTTAACTTTTCTGGTTAAAAACAAAAGAAGTTAAATAAAGATTTCCGGGTTGTCTATTTTTTGAGAGTACGCGAAAAACAATTTAAGCGAAATCTGGTCCTCATAGTTGTCCTTGTCATCGTCCTCGAATTTAAGGGTCTATAATATAATGCCAAAAATAAGGGCCGGCCGGAAAACCTTGGTAAACGCCCCCTAGTTTAACAACTCCTGTTTGCCTTTTGCGTCATAAAGAGGGCCAGTGGTCCTGATTTTCAGCGTACCCTTTCCAGTGCATGGGAGGTACATGAAAGATCGATTTGTGATACTTATATTGAAATATGCAACCTGTCATTACCTTACTAGCATGCGCAGTAGCGGGCACTATGTGTGCTGTAGTCTTAGGAGACGTTCTGTTTTGCCTCCGCCTTGTGTTTCACTCAGCCATTCCTTGCAAGGAAACTCGTACCTTTGACCATTTTCGTCCGTTACCGTGATCTGGAGTTTTCAAGAATAAAGCTTAAATGCTTTTTTTTGCCTTGTTTGTACCTTAGGCTTCTAAACCATTAGCCTGAGTCTCAGACACCCCTTTGAGTCACATACCCATATCAGCCGCTAATGCCATCCAGTGACGTCACTACTACTTTGCTTTAATTCATGCAAAAAACAAAACACGATTTTCAACTGGCAAACAAAGAAATATCGTCCGGAAGTCTAAATGGTACATAATTGGTTTATTCGTAAATCGTGACTCATGTTAAACGTTCAAACTGTTAACTACATGCAATACTCTGAACGAGTCTTTTGCTTTGTATAGCGCCATAATTCAGCAATCAAACATGTTCGCGTTCGAAAATTTGCTAGCTCGACAGAAGCTAGTTATAAATCTCACAAAGCGGCTCCCTAAATGTAAACCTACCGTCTTTCCGCATCGATTCTTTGTTTGTCAAAGGTTAGGGCTTTTCTACTTTTTACAACAAAGATTGTCGAAATTTTGAACTTCACGTAAGCATTCATAATTAAACATAATTATGCGAATGTTCGGACAATCAACCAATCAAAACCACTACCCGGTTTTCGGGTAGTGACGTCACTGGACGGCATCAACTGCTCGTCGATTCAGACGTCCCTGATGGGAGTATGCGACTCGAAGGGATGTCTGAAATTCAAGCTACTAAAGCCTATGAAGACTGGAAAACATTGTGACGATGTAACAACATTTTCTTGGTATAATGTGGTTAAACTGATTTGCGTCCGTGACATTTTTGTAAAAGATTTAACGTAGGTTTATTTAACTAGTATTTCGTACTTGCCATTTTCATAACACTTCATATTTTCAGGCGAACTTTTATTCATGATGGCTTTTATAAGGACTACTCATCTGGCTGGGGGTTAACTTTCACCCAGAATCAAGCAAAGTTGTAAACCACATTTACTTATCAGGTATTATTATATAGACACGAGTGTTTTACTGGAAAATATACCACTCGTAAAATTCATAATACTACATCCGGGACCCGAGTAGTTTATTTTCCATAATATCACACGTGAGTTTATCGATGACGTAATTTCAGTAATTTCCCTCTATTATTTTATCAATCTCTTTTTGTCTATATAATAGAAAGAACATTACACAGTGGCTTAAAAACCTTGGTAAACGCCCCCTAGTTTAACAACTCCTGTTTGCCTTTTGCGTCATAAAGAGGGCCAGTGGTCCTGATTTTCAGCGTACCCTTTCCAGTGCATGGGAGGTACATGAAAGATCGATTTGTGATCTAGCCTATTTAAATAAGAATAACATAAATAACTTTGCAAGCTTTTCAGCTCTTTGAGCTTGTCACCCACTCTTTCTCCGACCCAAGCCGAGCATGTGTGAATGACTAACCGAACTTAATCAGGCCTTCCCGAGTCTAATCAAGCCCAACCCTGCGTGACAGGCGTCAGTTTATGGATTATTTTTGTAGGGCGCGAAGTGCGCGAGGGAAACGCGAACGCCTTGCGCGCGTGCGTTCTCGAAATTTCCCCCTTCGCCCTAAAAATAACCGGCGCTAACCAAACCCAGAGAATGATGTGGCTAATCTTTCTTCATGGGAATAACTTACTTGTACAAGATATGAACGAGTACTTACTTTCCTCTTGAAAAATGTTTAGTGTCCAATTTTCTGAATCCCGAGTCTCCCTTCTCTCCATATAATGTGATGTAGACATTAGCGTCTGTGTCAGCTCCATCCATGTCTCCAGTTAAAGAGCTAATAGTATAGTTGGTGCCTGAAGACACGTCAGATGAGGTTAAATGACGTAACAATATACCATATACGGTCAAACTCCGCTTTACGGACACCACGATATTACGGACAGTTTGCTTTGTCCCTGGGGAAAGATAGCTCTTACGACCTCTCCTGAGGTTGAAGCCGTGAAGTGACCCCCCACGCCAAGGACATGTTTAAAAAAACATTCATGAAAAAGGACGATACATAGGCAAATTAAGGCCTTCTTGGGTTTTATCAGTCTTATTCACACCCCTTGGTGAGATGATATCCCTAATGAAATTTCTCGTCAACTGTATTTTGCGTCTGTATTTCTCACTTGGGTTTCGTGGTTGACACTGGCTCTTAATCGAAAAATGAGCCTTCAGAAATTTCCAAGGATGACCGAAAAAGGATACAATGCGTATATCTTGCGATTCTGTTTCAAATATACACTGGCGTTCTAAGCACGTAAAATACAACTAAATACTGTACGTACTAGACACTACGGCCCACAACTTTGCACGTGCATCTTATTGATTTATCAACATTTCTTTGCCATCACTGCAGGACACGACGTGAAAATGTCTAATTTCACGTTTTATCGAGGACGTAAACAAACGCAGACGAACTTTTTTCCTCTATGAATTTGCCTACTGAGCGACTTGCAATAATCGCGAAAAAGCTTGAAATAATGCGAATTGATTTTTGCTAAAAAGCGACGTTTTGACCGCTGTCGCAGTCGTGGTTTCTTAAACTTAAGGCAATGACGCGTGGGGGGAAAAACATACTTTAGGTCACCGTACTTGACCCTTCGGTAGTCGTTGCTTAAAGTCCCTATCCACCCGTTTAGTACGGGCACCCCGTATTAAATACGGACACTTTCTATGGCCCCCTCGGTGTCCGTATTAACGAGGTTTGACTGACGTGACAAAAAGGCTTGGAAAGAATTGCCCACATTTTCTGAAGCTTCCAAAACGAAATGACGCGATCAAAACATTGGATTTTCCATTCTCCACGTAAATGGTAAGTGCCCAGTGTCTTTTCTTGTAGCTACGGAAATTTGATCACGCACAAGGTTATGTTAAAACCAGACGAGTTAAGACACGAACAAAGATAAGATACGGAATAAAAGGAGCAACTTCAGCACAACGTGAAAAAAGCTCATCGCCTCATTTGTTCATTTTGCCGTGTTTCGTATTGGCTAAGACGTATTAGTGAAATAACGTAAACATAAATATTTTTTCTTATTTCTCACGATAGTTATGTTTTACCTACCTAGACCAAAGAAATACACCATATTTGTAGAATTACCGCCACAGTTTTCTTTGTCATTTCCTGTGCACGGCATGTTACAGTTTGCCTCATCCGCTTTGCCATATTTGCCATATCTGTGCCCGCAGTAACATGTGTCAGAGTTCTGAAGTCCAAAGTACGAATAGCCCTTCTCCTCTAATGCGCATGATCGTACGCAGTCTTCTTGTGACACAGATTTCACTATGGCTTTGTCAGGCAGATCATGTCGGACGCTCTCATCCTTGTAACAACCGACTTTTTGGAAAAGTAAGAGCACATCTTGCTTCTTTTCTTCTGGTATGTTTTCTGTTAGAAAGAATGTATCTAGTTTGTCACTTGGGACCATCTGCAAACCCTACTAAAAGTAATAGTGGTGTATTGTATTGTCTCTCAAGAGAAAATTAAATAAACGAATAACGGTTAGAGAACTCGAATCTCCTATATAGGCCAAATTAGTCCTATGTAGGAGATTTATAATTCCTCGTATATAATTTTAGCAATAAAATGGCGAGAAATTCAAATCATGTTTAGATATCTTTCTAGGCTTTCACGCAAGCGCCTTGAAAATAAAAATCATTATTTACCAAAACATTATTTTTTCACTTTTTCAAATCTTGACATTTTTGCGAGGAAAATGAAGTCACATATTTGGCGCACAATTGTGGCTTTTTCATTATGGGATATCCAGAGAGCGTTTCTAAAACGCTGTTTCACAGGGATTTCGAAGCTGAAAAAAAATAAACGTTTTAAAACATAACATTGTTGTCGCTTAAATAACGCTTAAATGGATTCTTTATGGAATAAAGATCATGTGTGTGTTCGCTCTCTTTACTATTATATTATCCCTGTTCATGAGTAGAAAAAAAGAAGAAAACGACAAAAAACAACAGCAACAATAATGACAAAAAAGAAAGAAACTTAGGCTATTTTCAGTGCAAACGAAGTTAATGTAAAATGAACCAAAAGCTCACCAATGATGCTGAGAGAACTGGCATTTTTCTGATAACCTTCGCTGCCAGTCTTGAGTTCGGGTTTGGGGATTTTTGCTCTCTTAACGACTGGATTTTCAGCGTCTGGCTTGGACACTTGAAATTAAAAAAGAGAAAAAGAAATCAAAATTTTAGATACAATAGTAATGTATTTAGATTGTCAGAGCGTCTGGGAACGTGGCCACATCTACAAATCGCGACTTACTTTAAGTATACCACTTATGCATTGTTCTTAATCCAAGAAATACGCGTACATAAACCTTAATTCTTATCGATTTCTTTATGCAAAATAACCTATTATTTATTATTTGGCGTTTCCCATTCAACCAAAACGTCTGGTTTAAATTTTCGGGCAACTTCCAGAAGCGAAAGGAACAGCATTTTCCAAAATTTCCAAAAAGGAGGACAACCTCGCGAGTTATACCCAACTTTTTGAAAAATTTTTCCCGGAAGTTTTCTTTCCATTTCATTTTGCTCCCGGAATTTCTAGAATTTTCGGTGAAATGGTTCGTATTTCGGAAATTAAACAGTTTCTGGAATTTCTGGAAACTCCTTCGTGAAATTTTTGAACCATTTGCCGCTGCTTGTCCTGCTTCCAAATTTTCGAAAGTTTTGGTTGAGTGTAAATCGCCCAGTAATATCCGTCAGTTGCTGCGGCCAAATATCATTTGTTAGTAAAATCCTACTAGCGGTCTATTATCAATGCTGCGTTCTGATTGGTTGAGCTACTACTAGGCTATATGGTNACAATAGTAATGTATTTAGATTGTCAGAGCGTCTGGGAACGTGGCCACATCTACAAATCGCGACTTACTTTAAGTATACCACTTATGCATTGTTCTTAATCCAAGAAATACGCGTACATAAACCTTAATTCTTATCGATTTCTTTATGCAAAATAACCTATTATTTATTATTTGGCGTTTCCCATTCAACCAAAACGTCTGGTTTAAATTTTCGGGCAACTTCCAGAAGCGAAAGGAACAGCATTTTCCAAAATTTCCAAAAAGGAGGACAACCTCGCGAGTTATACCCAACTTTTTGAAAAATTTTTCCCGGAAGTTTTCTTTCCATTTCATTTTGCTCCCGGAATTTCTAGAATTTTCGGTGAAATGGTTCGTATTTCGGAAATTAAACAGTTTCTGGAATTTCTGGAAACTCCTTCGTGAAATTTTTGAACCATTTGCCGCTGCTTGTCCTGCTTCCAAATTTTCGAAAGTTTTGGTTGAGTGTAAATCGCCCAGTAATATCCGTCAGTTGCTGCGGCCAAATATCATTTGTTAGTAAAATCCTACTAGCGGTCTATTATCAATGCTGCGTTCTGATTGGTTGAGCTACTACTAGGCTATATGGTATAGCCCACTAGTAGCGAAAAGCGCGGGCTTTTTGGCGGCAAATAAGGGTTAAAGTCTGGCTTTAACTAGCTGAATTTTTTTTATTCTCGATATTTTTGACCAACCAGTTGGATTTTACTAAAACAATTATTCCTCTCGCCGTCATGGCCTCCGAGTCAATAACCCATTCGGCCCGCGGCCTCATGGGCTATTGACTCAGAGCCCATTCGGGCTCGAGGAATAATTATTAATTATATCGCACGATGTGCCCATACTTTCTCAGAACTTGCCATCGAGTTACTTCCATCGCTGCCAAAAGGCGAGAGACGACATGCCCCATTCACACCAAAGCTTAAACACGTTTAATAGCTGTTTAGTTCAACATGGTTTAAAATTGTTTTCCTCATAAACGCTGCTTACTGACTTAAGGCTATTCCAAATCATGTGCAAATTACAGAGAATGTTAAAGTTTGTTTGAATCCTGTATATATGTATGTACTCCAATTTTCCATTTACGTTTTCCAATTTTTTTAAACCTGGCTTTATAAAACATGTTTAATTGGTGTAAATGGGGCACTAATTGTGATAATCAATCACACATCCTGACATATAAAAAGGATTTTTTTGAAAAGCAGTGGGTTACCTTGACAGTTTCGCCCAGTAAAATCTGATGTACATTTACACCTATATCCATCTAGTCTCTTGCTGTCACGAATGCACTTAGCTCCATTCTCACACGGTTGAGGTTCACACTTGTTTCCTACAAGTGATATTTAATTTCGTTTACTCTATAAAACGTATAGAGACAACAAACTAAACAAACAAAAACACAGCCTGCGAATATAACCGTCTCTCCTCGTTTCTCGCTGCTAGGGACCAGGGACGACCGAATGTTTCCAAATACGCCAGAAGTGTCTCAGATGTTTTTCTCTATTCTTTAGAGGCCTGTTTGGTCAATTCAGAGTTGCACTAAAAACTATTTATCTGTTCGGATGTCTTAGGGGAACTTTGGTCGCAACGAAAGTTTTAGGTGTTTTTTTCGTCTCATCCGAAAGTGTTAGCTACCCTTATGGGTCCGGGCGAAAGTTCGAGGACATGGAGTAGCCTTGCTTTCATACAAAATTGTGGGGAACGTTTTGTCTTTATTCCGAAAGTTTTAGGAGGCCTTTTTTTAAACAATAATCGCAATATCTTGATATTAAAATGTGAAAACACAACCTCCAAAAATCGCAGTTAAGCTATTAGAAAACCTCTGAATATTTTAGACGAATGGAACGGTTATCCTGAAATTTTTAGCCTTTCTCAAGCTTTAGAAATTTCTAGGCAATATTTGCTCTCTCGAACAGATATTTTACAGAATATAGTCATTGGGTGCCCCTGAGGGACGTTTTGCAGGAGAGACTACGAAATGTTTTAAGCGGCAAGGAAGGAGGAGGGAGGGCTGTATTCGCAGGCTAAGAAAAAGTCAAAAGATGGACGCTTAAGTTAGGATATTTTGTATGCCTTTCAATGTCGGATTCTCACCTGAATAGGACTCAGAACCTAGAAAAATAAGTGAGATAATAATGGTATCAAATGACGTGATTTACATAATTACCATTTTAAATGTGAACAATTATTTATCTACCCTCAATCAGTCGTTACAGTTAAAGCATGATTATCATAAAAAGTGGTTAAATGTTTATTGCATATCATTGCTAAATGTGCCGATGTGAAATCTACAAATTGACGATGATTTACACAAAGATAAAAGCCTTACAAGTCAGCATGTCTAACAAAGACATCTACAACGATATGTTAGAGATAGAGCAGAGCCCTTATGACTGTTACACCTTACTAGTTTAGCTACAGATCAGCGGAAATCGTACATTTAAAGATTACTGAGATAATCATTATTGGTAATAAATTTTAATTACCAATTAATTTTTGATTACTGAATAATTTTAGAATACTGTTCTGTTTAATTTTGTCAAACTTAGTGAAGGAACAAGATTTTTAGTTGCCCCTCCAACGAGCGCATCATTTCCGAGCCCAAGTAACAAAGTATAGGGATAATAGACCACTTTAGCTTGTCTCTTTTGTTTTCCTATTTCAGACCACGTGATGGCACCCAGAAAACTGTGTCTTTCAAGTTTTGTCTTATGCACATGCATCCACGTGCATATGTATGCATAATTAATCAAAAGACAAAAGGCAAAAGGCAAATTCCCTGAAGAACATCACGTGGTCTGAAACCAAACGTCAAGCTAAAAAGGTCTATTAAGGGCCTGTTTACATGGAGGTGGGGGACCCCAGGTAGGTGAGGTAACCCGCTTAGGTGGGGTAACCCGCCTGTCCATATAATCTCTCATTTTAATTTGATCACGTTTACGTGATACGTGGGGTGACCCACCACATGTTACTTCATTTATCTGGGGTCCCCCACCTCCATGTAAACAAGCCGTTAGACCCCATCCACAAGAATCCGCATATTTTTGAAACTGCATATTTTTTTTTACACGAATAGGCCACGGGTGAATGAGCTGATTCACCGGCTTCATGTGGACGGAAGGCTGATTCGCGTAGAAAAAATGCCTTTCCAAAAAAATCCGGATTCGTGTTGACGGGGCCTCTGACGCATTCGCCACTTTAAATACAAGAACGGAACTGGAGCCGAAATGTATCCCGCAATTGTTTCTGGGATCGTTACGGGGGACGCGTTGATCAGCTATTGGCCAATTTTTTCCCTGTTCCAAGTAACAGTCCCAGAAGTCTTTGCCAACGTTAACTCGGTCCAGTTTCCTACTACTTTAGTCAGCCCCGATCATACTTGGTCTGATTCTTACCCTGAATCTCATCATCGGCTTCTTCATCCTTATCATATTTACCAGCATTGTGAGAAAAGGAAACGGCACTTGCTGTAAGAGAATTACAAACTGCTCGTAAGTAAAGTAAACAGGAACTTATGTCTAGTTGCATTATTGATGCTTGAATTTTCCTTGTAATAATGTAGTATACTTGCTTCCTTCATATTCATGAAGAACTTCAAAATAACTTACAATCCAAGTCTTGTTCGTCCCAGTCTCCCGACCCTGATCCAAAACCAGAATCTTGTTCGTCATCCAGGGAAATTTTCGCTGTGAATCAAATATCATCAATAAATGAATAAACGAATAAAATTAACGTAACGGAAATAGGTAGTTTTATTCCTCAATGTCGTTAATGTATTACCCGAGCTGTATATTCGGATGGGTGAAAAAATAATTTTAATTCAGTTCTGAACATACCATCATATTTACCCTGTAGTAAGAAAAGCAACTACCTAGCAGATACAATTAAAAAGTTATTAATGAAAAGTAAATTATACTGTTCAGTTTATTTACTATTGGCAGGGTCAAAAGAAATAAGAAATTAGAAACATTGAAAATTGAACATAACAATCGTATCTCTCTTGGCTGTAGGTTTCTTGGAAGAAGTCGGGAAGCTGTTATTGACTGACGAGCAGGTTTCGTTTGTAGTGAAAGGTGACGTACAGTGTGACTGTGGGGTATACCTGTAATGGGTAGCCTGTGGCACAACTTTGATATGACTGAAGTACAAGTTTACTAGATGAAAAGCGGCAATCATTACCTTTGACTGGACAACTCTTGAGGTTTCCAATCTGTTGCTCATCCAGAGCCTTGTCGTAAATCTGCAAACAGGAAATTTTGCCAGCGAACCTTCTATCATCCCCATCCCTTGCACCGATTCTGATTGGATACTGGGTGGCAAGTTTGATCTGACCGATGTTGCGACTCTTCACCATCTTGCCATTGTGCCACAGCTGTGCTACACCAGTCGTGTTGTCGTATGTTGCACCAACCTGATTCCACTCGTTCAGCTGCAAAAATGAAACACAAGTATCTTAAAACATCAATTTAGCCAAGCCTAAAAGCGGAGCTCTTTCTACATTCTAAGCTGGCCATTCACTAGAATCAACAGACTATAAAACAGTATGGCTCAGTAAACCACTAAGTGTGCCATCCTCCCCTGACTTCAGGCGCATTTGTGTCATTTGTCATTCAAGATCTACCCGGGGATGTTAGTTATTCACTCCCTTGAGGATTTTCAGGAATAATTTACATCACTATGTGGTGGACTTCGCTAGACTGCTTACGGGCTCAAATGGCTGTCTGGAAGTTTACAATCAATGACGTTATCAGTTGTTAGGTAAATGTGAAATGAGGCGGACACTAGTGGAAGTAACTGTCTGAGATTTGTTACGGATGGCCAGAAGTCCTTTTACGACCTACAGAGTCCGTTTAAGTAACTGTGACATGTGGTACATGGTTAATAATAAATCTATTAGTTATAATGCGCAAATTACATGTGCACATGGTTTCTCGCCCTTATCCGACAACAAAGGAAAGTGTATCTACGGCAAAGGTGGCACTCCTTCTCTGTTGTTTTAAGAACCTAAGTGTTGGTTCCACGTGGAATCGAGCCCAGTCCTATTGCCTTACAGTTCCGTACCCTGCAATTAATTGACTTTGCCAGTCGGCGGTAAAGGATTTAGTATGTGACCACTGACAGTTACTCTAAACAGAGCTGTCAAAAGAATGGTCTGACAAAAACTGGAACAATCTGATTGGTCATACACACCAGTAAAAAATATCGAATATATATATCGAAAATATCGTATGACAAATCACAGGCCGCATAGGAAATTTTTCACTAGTGAAAAAGCTGTACCGGTTTTCCCACCTTGCAGACATAAGTTCAGTCAATGAATTTATTACGAGTCAAGAAAACGAAAAGAACAAAAAAGAAAACTTGACAGAATGTTACTATGCTTAAACAACTGTTGAGGTCGAGGAAGGTTCAAGACTTCACAAGAAGAAATTCCCTCGAAGGAGACGAACGCATGTATCAGCGACTTTATTACTACGGTTCGAAAGAAGGACGAGATCGTAACATTTACCCCCCCCTCCCCTTTTTAGGGTGGGTCTGTCGTAAATACTCCAGTAAATAATACCAATTTCAGCAGTGAAGCGCACGTACCAACTCGGCGGTATGGCCAGTACCTTACGTTCGCGCACAACCAATCACCTCGGCAATGGTAGCCATGGACAGCTGTTTCCTCATTAGGACCAATCGGCATGGCATAGCCCCAGGCGAGAGGTCTCACTCGCGATCATCGACCCCGGCGTTTACTACCGAGGCGAGTGCAAAAGCACTCCTCTAAGTGACAGCTCCACCGTACACAACCTACCACTTGGGATCGATGATCCCGAGAGAGACCTCTTGCCTGGGGCTATGTTATGCTGATGATGAGTCCCAATAAGGACGAAACAGCTGTCCATGGCTGCCATTGCCGGGGTGATATGGTTGTGCGCATGCGTAAGGTACTAGCCATACCAGGGAGTTTGTGCGTGCGTGAAGCGCTGAAATGAATACCGTTGTAAGTCACCTTAAAATGATTACACCATACAGTATCAAAGTTTAATGCATAATAATATCGAAACAGAAAAGCGACCACAAACCTGTAAAACTCTTGAAGCGATTGGTTTATGGAAAATTCCGTTGCGGTGTACAAATCTTACAAATAGCTCCGTTGATTCAAACTGCCACAAGTGTACACCCCAGCCGTCTGTTTTGTAGTTCAATATGGGCCCCCCACTCCCGCTGGGGTAAATGTTTGCTAAAATAGTCATGGAGTTCTGTGTATCGAGCTTGCCGTCATTTGGAATTTCAACAAAGGAATCAGCTGTTCCTTTAAATTCGTACGCGCCACCGTCATCATCTGATAAGCAAGAAAACATATTACATTTAGTTGGTAAACGGCTTAACTGATTCAATAAGCACCGACGACCGACGAAACGTGACGGCATCTTCACTCAGAGAAGTCGTCTTTTTTTTTTCCCGAATAAATACGATGTGTTTTCATAACGGCGCATTGGTTTTATGTTATGCTTTAGTAATGTTGAGACTGTATTTCAGTCAATTTTTCGCAAGTTTCTTTATAGGTTTACGCAGAATTTATTCACGTACAGATGTACGTAATCTAATTACCGACATTTGTTCATTGCTTGCGGCGGATTTGATTTTGTGGGTGATAAATTGAAACTTTATTGAAAGCTACATTTTCTTCGATAAAAAAACAAGCTCTTTTGTACTCAATTTAGTTCCCAGAACGCTGAAAATCGCACTTTAGGGTTTTGAAATTTCAAAATGAGAAAGGGCAATCGGCCCCTTGTTGCTGCAGTCGGTTACTGTATACAAACCTGCTTCAATTTGTATTGAAACCACTGAGCTGTAGGAGCGCAAAGTAATAAAAACTTCCTCGGATTGTTACAGAAGTACGGTGTTAAGTAAAAGAGATCATTTTCTTTCAGGGATAAGACAGTGATGTGAGTGTCTGTTCGGCAAATGTACATACAAACTGGGCTGTACAATGAACGAGATTTTCAAATACTGTCTACGGATTATTCGAATGCAGTATGAATAATTTCGAGCTCATTCTACAGCCAGAATTCTACCCTAGTAATGTTTAAACTGGATGAGCTGCATTAAAAAAGCGACGACTTTTAAAGGAAGTACCACAACAACAGGACAGAAAGTAACAAGCCTATTCAAAGCCTACATAGCGACGTAAGTAAGTCAAAATATCGTTCCAAATAAAAACGAAACAAATAAGTCAATTCCAAGAGACAACACCTGTGCAAAGTTTCAGAAATTTTCACGTTACGGCACTTGGCAATAGTGTGTTTTTGACCAATAACATACTGCAGGGGGGGGAGGGGGAGGTACTCAACAAAGTTTATAAGGGTAGGATATGAATAAACCACAATACCGGGACGTTTTTTGCGACTTTTTTACTGCAATAAAATGCATCTGTTTAGTGTTAGCCCTTTTGGGCCTTTGAACAAACTGAAATGACAGATTTCCCTACCCTTTTAGAGAGATCTTAACTCGTGAAATCCCTACCCTTTCATATACCTGAAGCCTGAAAAAGGTACCCCGTATGGTCCATTAAAGGGAGCACCCTTTGGACTACGTACTACAATCAGCCAATAAGCTCCCAGAATTTTACAAAAGCGCGCTAAGTTTGAATATCAAGGTTGATTAACATACAAGTTGATTATCCTCTTAGTCTTACCATTAGGTCCTGTTGAAAGATCTACGTTGCTAAGCACTCCGTTTTCGTTGTTAGGACCGGCGTCTTTACCGCCAAAGGCTTTGTTTAGTGGATACAAACCAACTGGCTTGGGTATAGCTAAAAGGGAAAAAGAAACAAATGTTAATAACGGAGAGCAAGAATTTTAATAAAGGCCTCTGTTATTGAGCTTTCTACGTCAACATCCCGCGTGTTCGGGAGATCTTGGGTTCGAATACCGTAGAGGACTTAAGATTTTTTTTCTTTCTCCATCGCTCGTGACATGCTGTTTATCCTATCTACGAAAAGATTTCGATCTTTAATGAACTTCTTTCCTTTCCATACTTTGACAAAGACACTTTTCACAGTCTTCATGTTGTAGTAACGTGCAGTAAAGTATCTTCTGGCTAGTAAGATCAGGTCACTCGTTGGGGATTTGATAAGCGTATTGCCCGCCTCTAACCCGACATATGCGTAGTAAGGCTTAGTCTGTCAAACAAACCTTCTTCCTGCGATGAAGGTCCCGGACCGGTTCTTCCATCTAAATAATGAAAATATGAATTGAAATCAATGTCGCTACTTTCCTTTGTAAGTTGAAAAAATCCAAGTTTATCTGTTTTTGTTAGGATATAACTATATTCTCGGTTAATCTCATTAAGAGAAAAATTATAAAATACGACAATGTATTAGCTATTTACAATTAAAAAGTTATCACACACACAAACTATTAAAAACTATTTACAAAGTCGAGTAAGCGAACGACTCGTAGATGCTAAAGTAATCATTCACTTGCTAATAGTTTTATAATAGCTTCTAAGTCAGATGACTTAAACTGTAACCTGTTTTAGATAAGGTTTGGCAACCATTTACTTTGGCATCAACAGATCAGTCAGAAGTTTCCTGTAAAAATACTCCCAGTATCACTGAGTGCTGCAATTTGCCTAATTATCATTATCTTACAATGTTTTCTTCAAAACTATCTCATTTAGCACTATTCAACATTTTCATTCTACTCAAAATTAGGGAGTTTAGACAAGGGTATTTTTAAGCGACGTAAGTCAACCGGAAGAGAGGTCTTTTCACTTTAAATACACCCTGACGCTACCAACCTTTGTATAGCTAAGTGTCTACTCTCATCGAGACAAATTTACCCGAAAATCTAGGCAAAACCAAGGTAAATCCACTGCCCAAGAATGCAAAACGTTTACCTCCAATCGACGTGCGTCGCTTAAAAAGCATATTTGCTGCATAGGACACAGTCAGCTTTGGGACCGCGCTGACCTGGACACTAGTTTTGCAACTTTGAAAAGCGTTTTTCCAAGAGCCATAATGTCCCATTATGGCTCTTGG